TGCTGGTCTTCTTTGTACAAAAGAGGAGCTCCTGACGTACAGCGGAAAGATAAACGGGTCGGGGCGTTTGGTGCGGCCATGCAACGCCCCGCAGCTGTACGCGCGGGAGTTTGCGCGTCGTCAAAGACCAGGAAACAGAACGCGTATCGTGGGCCGTGCAATGGCAGCGTGGAAAACACTCCTGCCTTCCGAAAAGCGCGTTTTTAATTTGGCCGCTGAAATTGTTCGCGCAAGATTTAAGGCCAAATACCCAAATTATACGTACGAACCTCAGCCAGCAAAAAGTAAGAATTTTTACTATCGCGTATTTTTATCAGTGTTCTGTTTACATATGAAATGTTAACACTATTTTCCCAAATTTTTAGAGAGCCAACGCCGAAAAAGTGTTGTGCCGAGCGCGCCTTATACTACTGGAAAAAGTAGTATGCTGCCCGCTCCTCCTGTCGTTTCTCTTCCCGCCGTTTCTCCTCCTCCTCCTCCTCCATCTCCTCCTCCTCCGCCATCTCCTCCTCCGCCTCCGCCTCCTTCTCCATCTCCTGCTCCTCCTCCTCCTCCTCCTCCTCCTCCTTCTTCTTCTCCATCTCCTCCTCCTGTCAATGCTCTTCCTGAAGACGCTTCTCTAGACAACGCAACTTATACCTACAGCGAGGAGGAGGAGTTAAACTATTATTTAGACTTGTGCGAGAAAGGGTGGACAGCTACTTTATTTTATTAATTTAATTTATCATCATTATTATCATCATTATCACTATTATTTTGTTGTTGTTGTTGTTGTTGTTGTTGTTGTTGTTGTTGTTGTTGTCATTTCTTATCAGTAATGCAATAAAATGTAAAGAGCTTTTGCTTTTTGTTCATTACGACAACAGCTTGTAAATCTGCGAACGTTTTAAACCTGCTTACGAATATGACGACATAAATACGTATATATTTCTCTGACTCTATTACTCAATTAGGCGGGTATTGGTGGAGACGTTTATGAGCACGATACGTTATTGAGAATATGCGTGTATTGATATTGACACATAAAAATTAGGGAAGTATTTTTACGTGACATCATTCGCTTATAATATTTATTACTTTGAAAATAAATGGCCTCAAAATGACTGAAAGATATTTTACTTGCGGGATACTTGAACCAGAGAAATACGGTAAATAATTTATTGCTATAGTTCGATGAAGTGTACGTGTATATGAAAACACAATTACACGTTTTGTACTATACTTTAATCAATAAAGTAATTACCCGCTATTTGCAGTAACTTCTATTCTCTGCGACATACTTTCTATCAAGATCATTCTTTGTGAATTTTGTCCCATTTGTTCTGTAGTGCAATCTCAGTCCTTTTTAGTGGATGCTAACCATTAATACGTTTGGATTTTAGAGTGGAAGGCTGACATGCATGGAAAGACTTATAATTCATTGTTTTAACATCTCAGCAGTAACGTTATCGTCTTAGAAACTAATACCCCTTGCAAGTAAATGCATCCGTTATAAAGTATTTTGGATATTCATCTCTTCTTTTACACAGAAAACATTCTCACATCCAAGCTATCATTTTTCAATATTGTAAATCCGCCCTCATCACTCCACGACTGCTCACCATTTTCAAACAGTCCAGTCTCTCATTTAGGAGAGGCTTGTGAACTGGCGCAGCGAACAAATTCTACATCTCATGCAATAACGTGCGTAAATAAAAATTTCAATGGTTGTCCAGGTAATGATATATTTGTATATTTAACCATTTACTACCGTTTCATACAACTACAGATTTGTATCGATGATATACACATATTTCGATTTAGCCTTATTTTTTAAGAAACATACAAGCAATCATTGCTACTTACGTAATATATACAGATTACAGAGATTTCATTAAAGAGAATTTTCGTATATAAATTTCAACGCATGCGATGTATATCTAAAGGACGGTTCATTCGGCCCGATATGTAATTGCAGACAAAGAAAATGAATGAAATGAATTTCTTAACAATACAACATTTCTTCTAGGCTACATCGCAGTATCGGAAAAGTTCCGTCATTATTGCTTGCTTGTCTGCATTATTCTGGAGAAGCACGACTCACCATTGATGGGACGTGTCAAACTGTAGGAGCAGCGGAGATGCAATCTGTCGGCAGCAAACGGTATTATTGCATCGATCGAACGTTATCGGCTTGAAATTCATATACAACAGTTAACGAAAAACCCTCTATGTGCTTACCCAAAGCATAAATTACAAGCATTCTATCTCGTACCACATATTTCCTCCGTAAGGTTTTGATCAAACACGTAAAATGAGAGTGGCAAACTCCTTGGATCATTTCAAACCCAGTCTCTTTTTTCTGCCGTCAACTCCTCGTCACTAGCATACCAGTAGGAAAGATTATCGCACAACGAAAAGCCGGTGTATTCAGCTGATGGCACGAATTTTACGTCTTCTTCATACAATTATACCCGGACAAGCATTATAATCTTTAATTCAGGTAGATTAATCAAACCAATCATCTCAGCAATTCCCGCTCTACCAATAGTCTATCGTAGAGAAGTGCCATATTAAAATCTGCCGAATGAGATTCACATTGTAAATGATAAAAAACAATACTTGCCTCTTGCCTTGTAGATTCTTCCCTACCATCAAGATACACAGTTGCTTGTACAGACCTGCCGATAATTCAATGTCTGATGTGAAAGAGCGAGAAGAAAGCCTTGATATAATGTATATTACTTTAGAGCAATCGAATCATTACAGTGCCGTAAGCGTGGCGCTGCGATGAGCAGCAGTCGTCGCAAACAGAAATATTCGTCCATTGAGCGAGACGTGAAAATAAAGATATTAATGCACGTATAAGAGTATCAAATGATTACCCGTCATGTAATAAAACCAGTTCCGTCTGTCGCTTTCAAACTCGGTACAAAGTGGTACTGATGGTATCATCCATCAGATCATATTTCGTAAGTGTTCTATAAAGAGAAAGAGACGTAAAATGTATTAATTTTATCATCGATCTTGTTTTTCACTTGCACCATGTTTTAACTATGCTTGTCAAGGTTCTCGCCACAAATGAAACAATAATCTTCCATAGCGAGATGCAACAATGGTGGGCAGAAAAGTCGATTTGGCCCCAAAAAAAAAAGTCCTGTAGAAGTTGGAACAACTACAATGCAAATGCACAATAAATAGTGATTTAGGCGTGATGCAAACCTCCTA